TAAAGTTCATATACTTTACTGTTTGGCTCTTTAGTCTTTTTAAATCTAGACAAGTCTGAATGTTTTTGTGTATTAACTGTTTTTTTACACCATTAACTTTTGAAGACTCCAGGCCAGTTAGTCTGTAGAATAAACCAGATTCTAAATATGCCTATTATTTTCCTCATTTTAGATTTAAGTTTTCAGCAGCTGCAGAATACACATTCTTTTCAAGTACACATGGAACATTTGCCAAGGTAAGTCATATGTGGGGGCCATAAAACAACTCTCGAAAATGTCAAAGGATTGAAATCTTACCCAGGATGCCCTCTGACCACACTGGTATTAAATTAGAAATTAATATCAAAAAGATATTTAAAATTTTCTCAAATATTTGAAAATTAAGCAATACACCTAAACAATCTATAGGTCAAAGACAAAATTCTAAGATAAAATAGAAAATAAACTGAATAACATTGAAAACACATCTCAAAATTTGTGGGATACAGCTAAGCACTGCTTAAAGGGAAATCTATAACTTTGAATAGTTATGTTAGAAAATAAGAAAGGTCTTAGGTCAGTAACCGAAGGTAAAGTCAAACCCAAAGTAACCAGAAAGGGTGAAATAATAAATATGCATAGAAAGTGATAAAACTGAAAGAGAGAAAATTATAGTTAAAAATTACTTGAAAAAAAATTGGTAAACATTTACTAAGACTGATCAAGAAAAAGAGAGAACACAAATTACCAATATTATTAATAAGAAGTATTATACATCACTGAAAAATCTACCGATGTTAAAAGGGTGAGAATATTATAACTTTATGACAATAAATTTGACCACTTAGATGAAATGGACAAATCTCTCAAAAAATGCAACTTACCAAAACTGACCTAAGATTTAGATGAAATATTTTTAGCAAACATACTACCTAGATGATGTCTTATACATCTCAGTTCATTACTTCAGGAGGCACATAATGTTAGCTTATTCCATTTTTAGAGATGCCAGGTTTGATTACTTGGTTAAGGTGTGAAACATCAGATATGTCCATTATAAAAGTATATTTTTCCTTTTACCCCAAATAATCTCTGGGATGTACTTTTAGACCACATAAATATCCTATCCCTCAACAATCTCTAACCCAATAGCTTCAGCATTCACTGATCATCCTAGTTGGAGTAACTAATAATTAATTGATAACTAATAATTTATTAAATTGGAGTGAAAACACTTATTTCCTAAGAGTGTTATCCCACCTACATTTATTAGCTAGCATTCTTTTATAAAAAGAGCTTTTCTTCTCTCTCAGTCTCTCTTTGTATCTCTCTTTCTCTCTTCTCAACATGAGGAACTCATGAATTCAGTTTACTCAACATGTTACAATCAATTATCATCATTCTTTTTGATGTGTAACTTGTCTCAAGCCAGCTTTTGCACTCTTCTTTGTAATGAACCTATTAGTCCTTGTGTACTTACTTGCTTTTTGATATGAGATTTTTCAGTTTTACCTTGTAAATTCCCTGCTCTGGGCCTGGAAATACCCATTTCTCTAGGAAGCACTTTAGTGGTGACTGGTATTTAGAAATCCAGATCTAGGTGCCAGCTGTACTCATTGCTACTGAAGCAGATTCGCTTAAATTCCTTTCAGCAAACAGAACTAGGAAGTGTACACGTGTCCCTGTTATCTATCAAAATATATACTATAATACAATACATTTTGTTGGCCAAAAAGTTCGTTCATTTGTAAGATGTTACTGAAAAACCTGAATGAACTTTTTGGCCAACCCAATAATATAAATAATGAGCTCATATTGATATCTCTTATTGAAATCCAACACTATGTTAGTCCTCGCTTATGAAAGTAAAAACTCTGCTTCCCCAAAACATCGATACATTTACTCAATTGCTTTATCCTATTATACACACAAAACAATTTCAGAATTACACCACCAAATACTACCATCAAGAACAAGGCTGCTAAGCAAATGTCAACAGTTCTTTGTATCGATAGTTCTTTTTTACTTTACAATACATTCTATTTAGGGTATACAGTCAAAGTCTTGTGTTCAGGTTACTTAATTCTTTTCTCTGTGTGATTGTTATCAATTTGACATAAAGTAGGTTATTTCTCACTTATTCAAATTTAATGTCCGCCTTTTCATGTTTTGTTAGATTTTTTAATATTTACAATATTCACATGTTCAAAATTAAAACCACATAAAAATGGTCTACTAAGAGAAATCTCACATTCAGCCCTATACCCTCTCCACACCATCCCAACATATCCTGTAAGTAAATATTTTCATTGATATCTGGTTGATATACCCTGTTTCATTTTGGAAGAATGAAGAATTTCCCCTTCTTTCCTACATGACAGGTAGCCTATTATACGCACTCCATTATATCCTGGATTCAGAGACAGCTTCCTCATTCTTCCTCTTCGGCCACATCGTATACCATTGTCTGGAGCACTGTATTTAATTTGATTACTTTCCTTTGAGTGGTCATTTAGATTAACTGGAATGTTTTGCTATTACAACTCATTCCTGAATGCAAACCTTACACATGTGCTGTTTCATATTTGTGGAGGTGTTTCTTCAGGACAAATTTCCAGAGCTGGGATTTCTGGTTCGAAAGGTAAATGCATATATAATTTTGTTAAATATCATCAAATCCCCTCTAGGGGGGCTGTTGTCATTTTGCATTCCCACCAGAAATGTACGAAAGTAACTGAATTTCCACAGCCTTGACAAATGTGTTATCTAGACTTTGACATGTTTTACCATTCTGATAGATGAGAAATGGTCCCTCAATAAAGTTCTAATTTGCATTTTATTATGAGTAATGTTGAATATCTTTTCTTGTATTTAAGGGCCATTTTATATTTTTTTGTGAACTGTTTGGGGTTTTTGTCCACTTTATATCATATTTTGTGATTTTTTAATTGATTTTTAAGAATTCTTTATTATTAGAGAAATCAGCCCTTTGGCCATAAATCTTTTGATTTTTTATTAGTCTTTTGACTTTGCATGTGGTATTTTGCCATGTAAAAATTTTTTTATTATTTATTTATTATTTATTAATGAATGGATATTATCAATCTTTTCTTTTATTGTTTCTAGATTTGGGATTATAGTTTGAAAGTTTCTTCATGCCCAGTTCAAGAGATAAATCACCCTTGTTTTCTTCTATTATTATATGGATTCATATTTTACGTTTAGATCTCTGATCCATTTGGAATTTGTTTCAGCAACTGGTATGAGATATAGGCTATTTTTTTTTCCAAATGACTATTCAGTTGTCCCCAAACCATTTATTTTAGAAGTCCATATTTTCCAAAACAGAAGGAATTTGAGAATTAGTTTTATGAGTGATGGATGAGCTGAGAAGTCAAACAGGGGGCAATGAAACAGCTCAGAGATTGGTAACCACAGGAAACCATCATCAGCTCTGGGTTAAAGCATCAAAGGAAAAAGAAAATGTTCCTGAAATCCAGGGTTTAGGGCCACCAAGCAAATATAGAAACCATAGCAGTCTGTCCAATGAGACCCGAAGCCTTCCAAGAGCTGCACTTGCTGCCTAAGCATAGAGACAAGCATAGAAATGTCCCTTTGCTCCTGCCCTCAAATCTCCCACCGATGATTCTGATTGGCCACACCCAGATGGAAGCCAGCTAATGGGAGCCTGAGAAATGCATCCTGCAGAGATTAAACCCCTTGCAAAATAAAACGGTGATGGCAAAGGGGGAAGAACTGCTCTGAGGGCAAAGTGCCAGCATAATACTCAGTGAAAAATATAAGAATTCTTTATCTTTTCATTAAAATAAATTCCCAGAAGATATCATGTAATTTATTAACATTCCAGCAATACGTAAAGTAAATAAATGTAAAGGCATACATGGGTTTGAAGACAGACTGTAATACAATCTTCTTCTTAGTTCAAACCATTGCTCCTGAAATTAATCTGAATCAGTGAGATTTTTATTATGTATAATTGGCCCTCCATATCCTCGGGTACCACAATCGCAGATTCAACCAACCAAGGATAGAAAATACTCAACAGAAAAATTCCAGAAAGATCCAAAAAGCAAAACATGAATTTGTTGCATGCAGGTAACTATTTACAAGGATTTATATTGTACTTACAACTATTAACCTAGCATTTACATTGTATTAGGTATTATAAGTAATCTGGAGATGATGTAAAGTACACGGGAAGATTTACGTAAATTATATGCAAATACTACACCATTTCATATGAGGGACTTGAGCATATGTGGATTTTGGTAACCCTGGGAGTTCTAGAACAAATCCCCTATGGATACCAAGGGACAACTGTATATGTTTTGGATAAAGAAGGATTGGGAAAATCAAGAGTGTGGGGATGGAACTAGAAAGATTTAAAAAATAGAATTAGCTCTGCAGAAATCAGAAGCATCCAAGAAACTGAAAACGAGATAAAAAAGTAATAACTGGAAACAACTGAATAAAAAAGATTTACTTTTCATTTTAAAAGAATTAAAACTGAATTTAAAAAAGAAAAATTATAAGCCATATACAATGAATGCAGGAGTTTAGATACTCAGAGGCAAAAACTTCTTTTTAATCATTTAAAATTTCTCTAGGTGCTGCATTTTAATGTAATGTTTTTAGAAATATGAACTTTAATAAATCTAATGATCTATTTTATACCCCAAGAAACCCATTACACTATTTCTACACCTAATCTGGCAAAATCCAAATATAACTCCAGTTTTGAAGGTTTGTTAGTTGCCATGAAAGAAATACTTTGAGTTTTTGAAGGAATGATTTATTCTCAGAATTAGTCCAATGAGATAAGATCACTTTCTTGTAAGGAAACCGGTAATGTATCTCTGTTCAATAGAAAATCAAGGGCTCAAAATCAAACGCTTTGTTGACTTGTGATTCAGGTGCTCAAGAAAGAATTCTCCAGCTGTAGGATTCTCTGGGCCTCTCAATGTTCCACTTATTTCTTCTCCTTTTTCTCCTCTTCTTTCCTCCCTTCTCTTACTTGCCTGCGTCCTCCTCTGCACTGAACAGCATCACCATTTGGGGGAAGGAGAATCAAAAGGGTAAATAAGTCAGCTCAAGCAAAAACATTCTGGGGCATAGGAGGATGAAATAAATAATAGTGCCTGAGGCACCATTAGTCAGCGTGGTTCTGCACACTCCATCTCCAATAAAACCATCGTAATCAAACACCCTTGGATAACTGGTCCCAGTGACTAATACATGCCCACCGATCCAGAGCCTGAGGAGCGCGAGTGACAAACCATAAACCTGCTCAGGATAGTGTGGTTGATTGTGATTCCATTTCAGAGAAATGTAACAAATGGGGACGCGCCACCTAGTCAACCATGCAGCACAACTGTAATTGTTAAGGTTGTTCGTTTCATTGCACAGTGTTCTTTCTCAAGAAAAAAAAAATTCTCCTCTTAGGATGAGGAATTGTTGCCCTTCATCTGATCGCATGGTTTCCCCTGGCTACTTGGCTTTTTATTTCCCTCTGGCTTCTAGAAGACCTGGAGCCTGTCTATAGCCTGTGGATAGGACTCAGAGAGATATCTGCATGTTAGCTTAAATCAAGCAGTTTATGTCCTATCCTTATTACGTCCTATTCTTTTCCGACTATGTCTAATTTTGATTCGTGATTTATTTATCCCTGTAGATCATCTGTTGCAGGTTCTCTAGAAACAGATCAGAGATAGCGTTTGGGGTCCAAGATGTTTCTTTGTAATAAATACTTGTGATGAGACGAAGGAGGAAGCAGCACTGGGCAGAGGGAAAATGCAGGCCTGATCAAACCTTTGCCAGCCTAGCAGGGCTCTGTGAAGTGGTGAAGTGAGTACAGCCCTGTGCCAACCCATAATGGCTGGTATACTCCCCCCCAGTCAGTCACCAGAAGTAGGTCCCCTCCGCCCCCCACAAGGACGGGAGCTCAGGCAAGGTGGGCCTCTAGAGCTGAGGGAGACTGACGGAGCTGAAACGTGGAGACTGCTGACTCTAACACTCTCAGCCAGCAGCAAGTCCTTCCTTGGGGAAGCTGCCATCCCCACCTTTTTCTACTCCAATCCCCTACTGCACACAAGATGGAAGAGAAGCTTCTCCAGGGGTCTGGGGTGCCTCTCCTCCTAAAAGAAGCTTAGAAGAGAGATATTAATGCGATAACTACAGTACCTGAAGTAGAAGTGGGTCTCAGAGTCCCAAGAGATACTCATTATTTTCTCCTTCCACTATCCTTTTTAGATTCTATTAACCATCAACCACCACCTCTGCTTACCTATTAATGTGCTTCAGACCTTCAGCCATAAAGACCTGAACCTACGGTTACCATGCCCTTTGGCTGGGGTCACTGTACCAGCTCACTTACAGCCACACTAGGCAAGGGAGTACTAATATAGGCCCAAGTGGACCAGTTCAGTTCCACCCATACTCCTCCCTTCCTCCTTTGTGTAATACCAGCCCTATCTCCTCCAAATGATCAGTCAATTACCCCACCAAGATCGGGACCTCTCTTCTTGCTTTTGGTCCCTAAACAGAAGGAAGTCAAAGTGCCCAGGTGAAAACTAAAGCTTATAATTCAATGGGGTTCTTTCTGTGTGCCCTTGAGAAAGTGTGCTCCCTTTGGGAAGCAGGAGCTCTAACCCAGCAGAACCCAGAATTGTGGGGAAAAGAAACACAATGACCCTCAGTAGGTCACTGAGAGTGATAGTAAATGGGGTCACTACTGTTTCCACCCCTTGATTCCTGTGTTCATGTATTCTTCCTACTGGACACAACACCATATAAAGGTCATTAATTCAAAGCATTCTAAAAGATGGCATCTCACTCCTGTAGAGCATTGCCTCTGAGCTTCCAATGATCTATCAGGCTAGCAGTTTATGAGTGGAGTAGAATGTGATATGGCCAGTGAATCTCACGGTCAGACCCATTCATGAACCTCCTTTGCTAAAAAGGGGGGTCCTTTGGTCTGAGGCTATGTTACACAGGATCCCATGCCAATGAATCAAACCCTCTATAAGCCCTTGGACAGTAGTGCTGGGTGAGACCATACAGACAGGAAAGGCAAACTCATACCCAAAATACATGTCCATTCCTGTGAGACGTGAAAATAAACAGTGAATCCTTTCAGAATAAAATGAGTTCAACATAGTCTACCTGCCAGCTACAGGATCATTGGTCTTCGTGATCAATGGTGTCATTTTGATATTATTCTCTGTTGCTGGCACACTGGATATTAAGCAGTAGCCATAGCTAGACAAGCCTTGGTAAATGGGAGTCCAGGCTGTTGAGGCCTTGCATATCCTTTGTTACCATGATTTATGTGTCCATTGTGTCAGCACTGAGACGGCTGATGATAGAGGCCGGCTGCTATCAGCTGGACAGGTCATTTTGTTTACTTGGTTGTTTAGTATCACTGCCATGGTAAATACTATCTGGTGGACATCAACATGTGGTACGATGATCTTCACTCTCATACGTCCACTCATACCCCTCTAACCCAGACTTTCTTGTCATCAATCTTCCATTCTTTCTCCTCCCAGGCCCCTGATCAGCTGGCCAAGCCACCCCTTACTGTCCATGAGTATGCATACATTTAATCTCAGGTTAGTTCTCTTTCCACGCAAAAGGGGTAACCAGGTCCACCAATCCTCTGTGCACTGAGAGGACTTCCCTTATCTTTCAAGGCCATCTTTGAATGAGATTCTGGTGTAGCTACCATTTTTGACTTGTACCCATATATGAAGCCAACTCATCTGTATACTGAATTCAGGTCTTCTCTTCTTTCAACTGGTATATTAAATTCTCCATATAGCCATTGGTATAAGCTGAGGAAGGATCACTTGTGCCACACTGGTGGATGCCATGGGGATCTGAGCTACTGCTCATGCTCATGCATTTTGCATGTGTCTTCTGGTCCTGATATTACTCAGTCCTAGATATACCACTTTCATTTTTCAATGAATTGTTCCTGGGCCCATCTGACCTTATGATTTGTGGATCTGATAGGACCCAGTTCATGATGGACAGTTCTGGACATAAACTCAGTTTGGCCATGATCCAAACTAATGGATCCAAATGACCCATCACTGCCAGGACCCAGTAGCATGCCAGAAGTTGTTTTTCAAATGGTATAAAATTTTCCGCTGCAAATGGCAAGGCCATGCTCCAGAACCCGAAAGGTTTACATTATGATTCTCTCACTGGGGCTTAACACAAACTATATATGACATATTTTCCCATCAATGATAACCCCTAATCATATTTGGTCTGCCAGAGTGTGTGGCCCAAGAGTGGGGCTACTTGCACTACAACGTGGTCCTGCTGTAGACTTTTCCTGCTCTGGGATGCACTCAAAGCTAGAAATGTTTCACGCATCCTGGGATATACTGGGTTAGCAAAAAAGTGCCTTTGGTTTTTAAGTAAAAATAAAAGACACATTCTTCATTTTCACCAACTTTATTGAATGATGTATTCATCCTTTTGTTCCATTACCTTCTGACATTTTTCAGGCAACTTCATAATTCCATCTTCTCAAAACTTTTTATCATTTTGAGCAGAGAACTATGCCAGGTGCCTTTTACAGTCTTCCAGGGAATTGAAATTTTCTCCATTAGGAGAATTTGGTAAAGACCTAAATATATGGAAATCTGAAGGTGCAATGTCTGGTGAATATGGTGGATGAATCACAACTTACCAGCCAAGCTATAACAGTATTTGCCTGGTCATCAAAGAAACATGCATTCTTGCATAATCGTGATGGAAGATTATGTGTTTTCTATTGACTAATTCTGGACGCTCTTCATTGAGTGCTGCTTTCAGGTGATCGAATTGGAGGCAGTACTTGTTGGAATTAATTGTCTGGTTTTCTGGAAGGAGGACTCCCTTCCAATCCCACCATATACACAACATGACCCTACAAGCAACTCTATGCCAATAAAATGGACAACCTGGAAGAAATGGACAAATTCTTAGAAATGCACAACCTGTGAAACTGAACCAGGAAAAAACAGAAAATATGAACAGACCAATCAAAAGCACTGAAATTGAAACTGTGATTAAAAATCTTCCAACAAACAAAAGTCCAGGACCAGATGACTTCACAGCTAAATTCTATCAAACATTTAGAGAAGAGCTAACACCTATCCTTCACAAACTCTTCCAAAATATAGCAGAGGGAGGAACACTCCCAAACTCATTCTACGAGGCCACCATCACCTTGATACCAAAACCAGAAAAAGATGTCACGAAGAAAGAAAACTACAGGCCAATATCACTGATGAACATAGATGCAAAAATCCTCAACAAAATACGAGCAAACAGAATCCAACAGCACATTAAAAGGATCATACACCATGATCAAGTGGGGTTTATTCCAGGAATGCAAGGATTCTTCAATATACGCAAATCAATCAATGCGATACACCATATTAAACTGAAGGAGAAAAACCATATGATCATCTCAATAGATGCAGAGAAAACTTTTGAAAAAATTCAATGCCCATTTATTATTTAAAAAACCCTGCAGAAAGTAGGCATAGAGAGAATTTTCCTCAACATAATAAAGGTCATATATGACAAACCCACAGCCAACATCATCCTCAATGGTGAAAAACTGAAAGCATTTCCACTAAGATCAGGAACAAGACAAGGTTGCCCACACTCACCACTCTTATTCAACATAGTTTTGGAAGTTTTAGCCACAGCAATCAGAGAAGAAAAAGAAATAAAAGGAATCCAAATCGGAAAAGAAGAAGTAAAGCTATCACTGTTTGCAGATGACATGATACTATACATAGAGAATCCTAAAGATGCTACCAGAAAACTACTAGAGCTAATAAATGAATTTGGTAAAGTATCAGGATACCAAATTAATGCACAGAAATCTCTGGCATTCCTATACACTAATGATGAAAAATCTGAAAGTGAAATTAAGAAAACACTCCCATTTACCATTGCAACAAAAAGAATAAAATATCTAGGAATAAACCTACCTAAGGAGACAAAAGACCTGTATGCAGAAAATTATAA